CGGGGGGGGAGGGGGTCTTAGCAGGTGTCATAGTGGTTAAGGGGCTGAACTCCCAAATGGCTGACTGAGGTTGGAGTCCTGGGCCCAGCAGCTTGAAAATCATGCTGGGTATGTGTGCATGTGTGCCAAAAATCCCAGGGGAGAATGGAGGAGAAGATATTGCAGTAGAGCCATCCTCCCTAGGGGGTGATTTCTTTTTTTCTTTTTTAAGAGAGATTTTTGCTATAGGGCATGTGCACTCGCCAGACAGACAGCGAGACAGAAAGCGAGAAATCACCCCCCAGGGGGGATGGTCACGCCGCAATCCCTTCTCCTCCATTCTCCTCTCAGGATTTTGGACAAACACACTCACATGCCCAGTGTGAGTTTCAAGCCGCCAGGTCCGGGACTCAAACCACAGTTGGCCATGTGGGCATCCCTGCTACTGCTAAGGGGTGATTTCTCATCCTTTCCTCTTTCTCCCTGGTGAGCATACATGCCCTATAGAAAAAGAGAAGAAAAAGAAAAGGAAGAAGAAAAGTAAATAAATAAAAACCTTTGAAATGGAGGAAAGGAAGAAAGAGAGGAAGGAAAACAGGAAGGAAAGGGAAAGAAGGGGACCTGGTCTTGCTGAAATACCAGCCCAGTGCTGATTTCAAAGACCACTTTTACTCTGTTGGCCTCGTCATGTGGCATGACCACAATGTTTTGTGCAAAGCCAATTTCTATTAGAAGGGCTAGAGAAATAGTAATGCCCAACTCCATCCTAGAGAAAAAGATTTCCATTTTTTAATTTTTCAAGGAAAAAAAACTAAATTGCTGCAGTAATTGGTATGAATGAGGTCTCCCCAGAACCTGGTGCCCAGAGCAGCAATTGCAAGTCTTACCACTTGGATCTGATAGTGAAATACCAGACCAACTAGCTCAAACAAATCGAGGCAAAGGAATTCCTAAGTGCCAGGTCAAAACCAGAGATCCCACCTCTTTGCCAGGAGAGGAGGTGCTGACCGTGGTTCTGGGTCATCGAATCAATAGAGGACTATACAGGCCCAGTGCCTCAAAAGGAACAGCCAGAGAGGGAAGAATTCATCCTAGCAAAACATCCATGGAAGGGAGAAACAGCCATAGAGGGAATTGTGCAAGATAACTTCTAGAACCTGCGACGTGGGGCTCTCAGCTCACGGTGTCCGTGTCTGTGACTCACCCCTAATAGTGACGAGGTGCCTTGGCTCCAGGAGGCCTCCCGCAGGACCACGACCATTGCATACCATCATCCTCACTTCCGTAGCTTTAGTCCCTTCCTTCAAAAGAATAGACACATCGGGACCAGCAGTTGGTGTAATGGTTATGTCGCTGAACTCCCATGTAGCCGACCACGGTTCAAGTCCCGGACCTGGTGGCTTAAACTCACGCCAGGCGCGTGTGCGTGTGTGCCCAAGATGCCGAGAGGAGAATGGAGGAGAAGGGATTGCGGCGTGGCCATTCCCCCTCGGGTGTGTGTGTGTGTGATTTCTCGCTTTTTGTCTCTCTGTCTTTCCGGCAAGGACATGCACCCGATGGCAAAAACCTCTAAAAACAAAAGAATAGACACATCGGGACCAGCAGTTGGTGTAATGGTTATGTCGCTGAACTCCCATGTAGCCGACCACGGTTCAAGTCCCGGACCTGGTGGCTTAAACTCACGCCAGGCGCGTGTGCGTGTGTGCCCAAGATGCCGAGAGGAGAATGGAGGAGAAGGGATTGCGGCGTGGCCATTCCCCCTCGGGTGTGTGTGTGTGTGATTTCTCGCTTTTTGTCTCTCTGTCTTTCCGGCAAGGACATGCACCCGATGGCAAAAACCTCTAAAAACAAAAGAATAGACACATCGGGACCAGCAGTTGGTGTAATGGTTATGTCGCTGAACTCCCATGTAGCCGACCACGGTTCAAGTCCCGGACCTGGTGGCTTAAACTCACGCCAGGCGCGTGTGCGTGTGTGCCCAAGATGCCGAGAGGAGAATGGAGGAGAAGGGATTGCGGCGTGGCCATTCCCCCTCGGGTGTGTGTGTGTGTGATTTCTCGCTTTTTGTCTCTCTGTCTTTCCGGCAAGGACATGCACCCGATGGCAAAAACCTCTAAAAACAAAAGAATAGACACATCGGGACCAGCAGTTGGTGTAATGGTTATGTCGCTGAACTCCCATGTAGCCGACCACGGTTCAAGTCCCGGACCTGGTGGCTTAAACTCACGCCAGGCGCGTGTGCGTGTGTGCCCAAGATGCCGAGAGGAGAATGGAGGAGAAGGGATTGCGGCGTGGCCATTCCCCCTCGGGTGTGTGTGTGTGTGATTTCTCGCTTTTTGTCTCTCTGTCTTTCCGGCAAGGACATGCACCCGATGGCAAAAACCTCTAAAAACAAAAGAATAGACACATCGGGACCAGCAGTTGGTGTAATGGTTATGTCGCTGAACTCCCATGTAGCCGACCACGGTTCAAGTCCCGGACCTGGTGGCTTAAACTCACGCCAGGCGCGTGTGCGTGTGTGCCCAAGATGCCGAGAGGAGAATGGAGGAGAAGGGATTGCGGCGTGGCCATTCCCCCTCGGGTGTGTGTGTGTGTGATTTCTCGCTTTTTGTCTCTCTGTCTTTCCGGCAAGGACATGCACCCGATGGCAAAAACCTCTAAAAACAAAAGAATAGACACATCGGGACCAGCAGTTGGTGTAATGGTTATGTCGCTGAACTCCCATGTAGCCGACCACGGTTCAAGTCCCGGACCTGGTGGCTTAAACTCACGCCAGGCGCGTGTGCGTGTGTGCCCAAGATGCCGAGAGGAGAATGGAGGAGAAGGGATTGCGGCGTGGCCATTCCCCCTCGGGTGTGTGTGTGTGTGATTTCTCGCTTTTTGTCTCTCTGTC